TCCTCCAGAGCCGTTTCCGTTCCCAGCCCGCCCGCCCCCCCCTTGCCCGGCCGGATGCCGGCGCTCCCCCATGCCCTCCCGGCCCGCAGCTGCCAAACACAAACAAGCGGCCCCCGGCCTCTGGGCCCTGCTGAGGCCGGCTTCCCTCCAGCGCTCGCACGGGCTCGGCCGGCGGGGGGGGGGACTTGGCACGGCCCACTCGGCCCGCGCATCCTGTCGTCCTCTCCCCGGCCAGCCCAGGGGGCAGGATGGGACGTGACGGCCGGCACAGGCCTCGCTCGCTGCTGCCAGCAGCCCGGCAGCCCAGGCCAAGAGGCCGCCGAGGCCCCTCCGGGCATCCGACGCCCCGTCCCAGGCGCTCGGGAGGGCCGGCTGCCCGCAGGAATCCACCGTGACCGCGCGCGGCTATTTTTAACGCGGCCCGCTCGCCGGCCGGGCTGTCCACGGAGGGTTGCCGAGGTGGGGCAGGGCCCGCTTGCCCCGCTGCTGCGTCCCACGTGCCGGCAGCCGCCCGGGGGCCAAAGCCCTTCTCGGAACCACTCGGGGGCTGCGGTGCCGTGATGGGCAGGCCCGGGGAAGGGACGGGCCCAAGCGCCAGAAGCCCGGTCCTGCTTTCGCTCACAGCGCTCCCTGCCGGGACTCGGGGCTCGGACTGGCATCGCGCCTCGAAGCACGGGCGTGCGAGCCAAGCCAGCCGAGCGGCCCCCAAGCCCCACCCGGGGGCAGGGGCCCCTTTGGGGACTCGGCTTGCACGGGGGGGCGCCTTCAGAACTGGCACAGAAGCCCAGAGATGGCCGAGTGACCGGGGAGGGAGTGCGGGGCCACCTGGTGGCCCCGGAGGGCTGGAGGCCCCCCGGCTGGCAGGTCTGCGTCCCTCCCCGCGAGGCCGGCACCTGGCTCTGCACACCGGCCCGCTACTTGGGGCGTTTTTCGGTGAGGGGGAGCCACGCACACGTAAAATGAGCTTTTGGTCCCTGTGGCCGTGAGGGTACCCGGGGCATGCCGTGGGGGGCAGACAGAGTGGGGGGGGAGAGGGGCTCCTTGTGGGGCCCGCCTGGCTGTCCGCTTGACTGCGTGTCCCCGCCCCCCCCACCGGGGGGTCTTGCAGGCGGTGCTGAAGGACCAGGCGCAGGTGCGGCAGATGGAGCTGGAGATCCGGCCCGTGTTCCTGGTCCCGGACACCAACGGCTTCATCGACCACCTGGGCAGCCTCGCCAAGCTGCTGGACTGCCGCCAGTTCATCCTCGTGGTGCCGCTGATCGGTGAGCAGGGCCGGGGGGGCGGGCGCCGGCCGGGCCGCTTTGCCACACAAGCAACCGGGCCTCCCCAGCGCCGTGTCTCCGAGCAGGGTGGCGCTTTTTCCATTGTCCAGTGCCACCATGGCCTTTAGCCCCCACCCAGTGCCCCCCCCGAGCTCGAACCCCCTTGCCGGGGGGTGGGACAGCCCACTCCGTGCGATGCTGCGTGAGCCTGTGGGGCTGCTTGCCACCTGAGCCGGCCACAGGCTCTTTGGCAAGAGCCCCGCGTCAGGCAGCCACCCGGGGCCGGGCGGACGGACGGACGGGGGGGCGCTCCGGGCCCCTCGTGGCCTGCTGGGGCTCTGGGCTGGCCCTGATGGCGTGTCCTGGGAGTGGAGGACGCACGCGGACCCTCCCTGGCCGAGGGTGGTTTGCCTGCCCGCCCGCTCGCCCCCCGCTCTGCGACTGCCCTTGATGCATCCGGCCGGGCTCTGCCGGGGGCGGGGGGGCGCGGCGGGACCTGCTCTGACCCGGCCGCCCGGGCCACGGCCCCTGCCTCCTGGCCGGGGGCTTTGGCTGGAGCAGGCGGCTTCCCGGGCGGCTCTTCCCACTGTTGGCTTGGCGCTCCCTTTTCTCCTTATAAAGTTGCAGTCCGGCCACTCGGCAGAGCGGTCCCTGCTATTGGTAAACACTCCACCCGGGCAGATAAGCGGCAGCGGCGTCTGCTCCTGCTGGGTGGTCCGGAGTGGGGGGGCGCTGGGCACACGCACCTCCTGCTCCTCGCCCCGGAGGGGAGGGTGCCTCCCGCGGGCCCGGCCGGGCAGCCTCCTCGGCGGGCCCTGGCTGCTCCAGCCCCCGGCCCCTGCGTCTGGGGCACTCCCCACCGGGGAAGGGCTTCTGGCGCCTCAGCACGTATCCCCGCCTGCCCGGCCCCTCCCCGGCCATGCACTCGGGGCGCGGGTCCCGGCCGGGCTGCTCTGCAGCTGCCCTCGCCCTCGGGGCAGCCCGGCCAGGACCCGCAGGCCTCCTGGGCCCCTCCCCACAGGTCAGAGGCCTGCCGGTGGCTCCAGCCAGCCAGGGGCCGGCAGCAACTGACCACCGGCTGGCTCAGGGCCCCGGGGAGCAGGCCGGCAGGCCCCCGTTCCGCAGCGTGAATTGCAGGGGGTGCTTTGCCCCCGGCGGGGGGAGCTCGCACAGGTGCCCCCAAGTGAGGGGCCCGCCGAGCACCCCCCCCATTTAGCCCTCTTCTCCCCACCCACCCCAGCTTCCGCAGCACGGCTGTGCGGCAAAGGGTTAAAGCCCGGCCGGGGGCGCTCCCGCTGGGGCGGCCTCTCGGCCGGCCCTCTCCCCACTGGCCGCGCTCCCCGAACCCGACCCTGCCGGGGCGGAGAAGCCACTCGGGCAGCAGTGCAAACATGCCTCCCCTTTGAAGGCTGTTTGCCTTGGACGCGGCAGCGGAGCGGATTTCAGGCCGGAGCACCGGCCTCCCTCTCCCCGGGCGGGACGTTCCGGGCACGTCCGGCTCCCCCTCTCCACGCTCCCCCAGAGCAGGCAGCCGGCCCGGCCGGGGCCGCAGGGGGTGGCGGGACTCGCCCCCGGCACATCCCGGGCGGCAGGACGCGCGCGCCACCAGCCCCGACGGACGGGGACTCGGCTGCGCCGGGAGAGGCCCCCGCGGGTACCGCCGCCCCCCCCCCCGCCTTGAGAGGCGCATAGTTCCCGCCTGATCTCAGCGCTTGGCCGGGAAGTGGCCGGGCCCCGCCGGATTAGCCGTCCCGGGGGAGGGGGGGCGCTGGGCGCAGGCAGTGGAGCACCAGCCGCCCCGCGGCCTCTGCCCCGCTGCCCCCCAGCCCCCCAGTGTGGGTTGCCGAGGTGCACTCCCAGGCCCGTGCAGAGCCGCTCTCGGCTCCCCCGCAACCAACGGCCACTCGAGCCGCCACCTCGGAGCCACGGGGCGGGCGGCAGCCACAGGCCGGCTCCTGCGCCCCCCGCCCGGCCTCCTGCTGTGCAGGGGCCCCGGTGCCAGCCAGTCCCTCTCGCCCTCTCACCAGTCATCAACGAGCTGGACGGGCTGGCCAAGGGGCCCGAGCTGGAGCAGCGGGGCGGGGGCTACGCCCGCCTGCTGCAGGAGCGCGCCCGCACGGCCGTCGAGTTCCTGGAGGGCCGCTTCGAGCAGCGCGACACCTGCATGCGGGCCCTGACCAGCCGCGGGAACGAGCTGGAGTCCATCTCCTTCCGCAGCGAGGACATCTCCAGGCAGCAGGTGAGGGGGACCGCGGGGTGGGGGCTGGGGGGCATGCCTGCCCGGCAGGGACTGCCAGGGCCCACGTGGCGGCCTCCACCCCGTGCCCAGCCCTTCCTGTGTGGGGGTTCGGGAGGGCCCTCGCAGGACGCCCCCCCACATTCGGGAGTTTGCCTGCCCCACAGCCCCTCGCCTGCCCCTGCGAACCTCTCCGGGGCTCTGCAGGTCCCGCGGCCCACCTGGACTCGCCTCCCTCGTCCCCAGGTAGCCCCGGCCACCGGCCTGAGCTTTCTTCCCATCCCGGGCGGCTGCGCTGCCTCCCCTGAGGTTGCTGGCGGGGGCAGCGGTCAGCCGCCCCTGCAACAGCCCCACGGCCATGGCGGCCCACCCCACGCAGCGCCCCCCGGGCACGGAGGGCGCAGAGCGGGCGCCCGGGGCACAGCCGCCGCGGCCGTCACCGCTTCCTCTTCCCGCCCACGCAGGGGAGCAACGACGACCTGATCCTCTCGTGCTGCCTGCACTACTGCAACGACAAGGCCAAGGACTTCATGCCGGCCAAGAAAGGTGCGTGTCCCGGGCGGCGGGGGCCACTGAGGCCCAGGTGTGCCCTTCCCCCGCGGAGCCTCCCTGCCGCCTGCACAGCGTGGCCTGTGGCTCCCTGGGACCGTGGGCCGGGCGGGGTGAGAATGCTGGGGGCCGGAGTCCGGGGGCCCTGGAGGCCCCGGGGGGCCCTCCCGCACCTTGTGCCGCACGCTGCCCGGGGCACGGCTGTTCGGGATCCTTGCCGGAAGCGGGCGGCCAGCCCTGGGATCCTGAGCACGGGGCCCTCTGCCGGCGAGCCACGGATGCCCCGCGGGAAGGGGGCACCCGCCCTCACGCAGCCCCCCCGCGCGTGTGAGGCCGAGCGTGAGAGCGGCGGCGGCAAGAGCAGGCTTGCTCCTCCTGGCAGGGGCAGCCCGTGGGCGCGCTGGACTACAGTGCCCATCCTGCACCCTGCTGGGTGCCACAGTCCGACACCCCTGGGAGACCCTCCGGCCGTCCTCTCCGCACGGCCGCCCGGCACCACCAGGGAGCTGGGGCAGCTGCGGGGTCCCCATGGTCCCCTGCTCCAGCCGTGCCGGGGGCCCTTGGCCCGGGGGGTGGGCGCTGGCGCCCCCGAAGCGCCGGGATCGGCCCGGCGTTCTCCGCAGCTTAACTTGTCAGCTTGACGGAGGAGGCGTTCGGGAGTGTTTACGCCTCGCGGGGCGGAACCGGACGCCCCGGGGATTGTGGCGGATGGGGTTGACACGCTGACAGCCTCTGGTTTGTAACAGGCCGCCCGCCGCCCGGCCCGGCCTGGCCCAGCGCAGATGGTTATGGCAAAGCTCTCGGACAAAGGGACGCCCGCGGGGCAGGCGTCCCCGGCCTGGGCAGGTGCTCCCGCTGGGCCGGGGGCTGCCCGAGGCCAGGCCCGGAGGGGCAGGGGCAGGGGCCGGGGCCGGGGCTGCCCTCCCGGGCCTCACTGCCCGTGTTCCCCCAGATGACCCGATCCGGCTCTTCCGGGAGGTGGTGCTCCTGACGGACGACCGCAACCTGCGCGTCAAGGCCCTGACCCGCAACGTGCCCGTGCGAGACATCCCCACGTTCCTGCGGTGGGCGCAGGAGGGCTGAGGGCGCGGGGCTGCCCGCCGGAAGCTCCGCGGCTCTTGGCCGGCAGCAGGGCTGCCTCGAGGCCTGGCACGGAACGACTGCCGCCGGCACCACCACGCCGCCACCGCCGCCGCCGCCTCCCCGGGACCCTCCAGCGAACAATAAACGCAGCATCTCCAACCCGCCCCAGAATGGCCGTGCTGTGGGGGTGAGAAAGCGGCGGCCCGCCGGGAAGGGGCTGCCGCGGAGGGCTGACGGCAGGCGGGGCCCCCGGGCCTGCGCACAGGGAGGAAGCGCGAGGGTGGCCCAGGGCCGGCCCGAGGCCCTTGCAAGCCGGGCCCGTGTCTGCGGCCCCCGGAGCGCACGGCCGGCCTCCGCCTCTTGCCATCGTCCTGGGCCTGCCGGGCTCCCTGCAGAGCCCCCGCCCACGGCTCTTTCCCAGCCCCTCCCCTCGACCTGCACCCCCCCCCCACTGTCCCTTCCTGCCCCGGGGACGGGGACATGCGGTCCCTCGCGGGCTCGCCCCTGGAGCAGAGCCGGTGCTGTGGGCCTCGGGGGTCGGAGCGTGTGGCAGGGCTGTGAGCAGGGGGCGGGGGCCCTCGGGGGGGAGACACGGCAGGCCGCAGACCCAGAGTCGGGTGTCCACGCAGAGAACCCCCCTGGCTGAGAAGCACCGGCGGCACCTTCGAACGGTGGCGGTTGCGGGTGGGGGCCGCAGCCCCAGGGCTTCTTTGGCGCCATGCCCAGAGGAGGAGTTGAAGTCGCAGCTCCGCCGCCGCCCCCCCCCAGGGCCTTCAGGGCCCCGCGTGCGCGTGTGGAAGGGAAGGGCCCCCGCGGCGGCCTGGGCTCGCGACGCAGGCGGGCCCTGCTGCCGGCTCATCCAGAGAGGGGCGAGGGCTCCTCGCTTGCGCCCCGGAGCCGGGGGCCGTCCCCCGGGAGGGGCCGCCCGGCCAGCCCTCCTGGCTCTCACACAGGGCTCGCCACCGTGTTTGTTCTGTTGTTTTCTTAATAAACCTTCTAGGGAACGCTGCTCTGTGCCGATTCATTTGGGGGGATGGAGCTGCCCCGTGCCCGGGGGGGGGGGGTGCGGTGGCCGCCGGGGCGCCTCCGGGGGCCAGCCGAGCCTCCGGGCCTGGCTTTGGCCCCGAGAGCCACACGCCCCGGGGGACGGGTCTGCGCGCTGTGCGTGCCTGGCCTTTGTTTCTGGCAGGCGGGAAAGGCACTCGGGCCGACTCAGTTGCTGGATGCGTCCCAAGGCGGCGTAGACGGAGCGGGCAGGACAGGCGGTCGATGCGTTCTGGGGTGGTGATGGAGCGCGGAAGAGCGTGGAGCTTGTGGGGGGGCTCGTGGGGCTCCCCTGGACCCGGCCCCATCGCAGGCCTCCACTCCGAGGACCCCTGGCCCGGCACAGCCCTGCCCTAACCCGGCTCTGAACATGCGGGTGCCAGGGCCTCGGGCGCTGCGTTTGGGGCGAGCCCGGGCTGTCTCGGGGGGCCCGGGGGCCAGATCCTGCACCCAGAAGGGGCCCAAGGCAAGCTGGCGCCACCGGCGCAGGGCTCTCGGCTCAGCCAGCCACTGCGGCCTGGGCGGGGATCCGGTGCCAGCAGCCGCGATTTCATGTCCATATCAAGGTCTCTCCCCTGCATGCTGCTCAAATTGGAGTTGGGAGGGACCTGCCCGGCTTCCTCGCCGTCGCCGCAGCGTCAGCGCTGGGTGAAACGCCCCAGGCCCTTCCCGGAAAGGCCTCCACAGGGCCACCCGGAGCCCGTTTGGGAGAGGGGGCAGGTTCGCAGCCCGCCCTCCCCACGGCCGGCCGGCCCCACAGCAGCCCTCCCGCGAGCGGGACTCCGCCGACCCCGGCGACGGCACGCTCGGCCTCCGCTGGCGATGGCCGCGACCCCCCCTCCGCAGCGGCCGGGAGGTCACACAGCCCCCGGCCCGTCGGGAGCGCATCCCCGGCGGTCCCCCCTCCTCACGGGCAGGACAAGAACCTGCTTGCCCAGCCCAGGTCCCCCCAAGCGAGCAGCGGCCTCCCTCGCCGTGCCCAAGAAAAAAGAGCTTTTATTGCTGGTTTCGGGGATATTTTATTTACTTATTTTTCATGTATGGTTTCACGTCCGATATTAAACAGAGGGGACGACATCCCAAGTACAAAATGCTACGAGAGGCACAGCGGGCTGCCTCTCCCGAGCCCATCGGGTCGGCCGGGGGCGGGGGGAGGTGGCTTTCGGGGGGGGAGCTGCTGCTGCAGCCCGCTCGGTGGCCGCTGGCTCAGATGAAGGCGAAGCCCCGTGGCGAGCGAGGGCAGGAGGTCGTGTGCAAAAGAGGTAACAGCGAAGCTTCACATTTTAACCTGATTCAACAGGGGAGGGGGGCGCAGGCTGTGGCCCCGCTGGGGCGGCCCCCGGCCCGACTCTGCCCCTCTCCCCGGGAGTGCAGCGGGAAGAGCGGGGTGGCCAGTGCCGGGGAAGGTAAACAAGGTGCGTGCCCGCCGGTCCCCGGAGCGGAGCCCCGAGGCACGGGTGGCTCTCGCCCCGGCCCCGGTGAAAGCTCGGGGTGGCCTCCTGCCCCCGAGGATGAAGCAGGCCGGCTCTTCCTGCCATCGGGATAGCGGACAACTCGGGAATGTTTTGTCTTTGTCGAACTGCCCTATGGGGGAACGGAGGGGACCGGGAGACGGGGGGCAGGGGGGACAGCGACCCCCACCCAAGAAAGTCTTTGGCTTCAGGAGCAGTCAAGAACAACAGAAGACAGTGCTTAAGTCCATAACCGGAAGAAAGTGCTGGAGCTGCCCAGGGGGAACCGTCCTCTCTCCAGGGGCCCCCCTTGGTCACAAATTGTGGAGTCCTTTGACGGGGGGGGAGGGCCCCCGCCTCTTCACATTGCAAAGCCTGTCAGGCCGTGTGAGGACTTCACGCAAGCAGAGGCCTGGCCACCAGCTCGCAGCCTTGGGCCGCGCGGGGGACGCGAGGTGGCTGGCCGGGGGGGCTCTCAGAGGCAGAAGGAACGCGTCTCTAGGAGGCCGTCCCGTAAACTTTGGGTCCGGGGCCGCCCTGCAGGATCAGGCCTGCGTCCACGACTAGCCCATTTTGTCTGTGGAGTGGCCAAGCAGATTCCCCACCGCACCCCACACTGGCTGCCGCCCCGCCGAACGAGCCCGGGGGGGCCTGGGGCCCCAGCAGGGGGCTTTTCCAAGTCTGGCCACAGAAAGCTGCCCTGGTTTGGGCCGGCTGGCCTGTCCCGCGGGACCGGAGCCAGGACCCCCTCAAGTCGGGGCGACTGGGGAAACAACTTTTCCCGTGTTGCCCTAAGGCACGCGGGCGATCGCAGCCCTCCAGGATGCGGCTGACGGCCGGTGGAGTCGCGGGCTACCATGGTGTGCGTGAGGCAGGCAGCTGGCTCCCCCCCGGGCAGGAAGACGCGCCGGACGTGGGGGCAGCAAGTGGCCCAAAGGGCAGAAAGGGCCGCCCCGGGATGGGAAGCCCGGCTGCACCCGCGCTCAACCCCGGGACGTGCCTTTCCCACACTGCTGCTCCCAGGCTGCGGGAGTGCAGTTCCCAGAATCCCCCGGGCAGCCTAACCCGTCGTTGGCTGGTGTCGTCGACAGCAGGTCTGCTGGTCTCTCTCCCCCCTCCCTGCTTTCTGTCCAGGAGGGGCATGGCTGCTGGCCCACGCAGGCAAGCCCAAAACACGACTTCCAGCGGCCCCCGTGCATCTTGGGGGCTCGGAAATGCTTTGGGGGCCTGCAGAAATGCATCAGGAGACGGGGCCCCGGAGAGCTGAGCTCGGGCGCATCTAGAGGACAATCCCCACCCCTCCCAGCCCATGCGGAGGCCACCAGCTCTTGGAATCCTGCAGCCACCGCTGCCCCCAAACGGGCTTCCCCCCCTCTCCCCCCACCTGCCTGCCTCACACCACAGCCATCGGTTGGATCTTTCAGGCACCTGCAAGACATGGGCCTTCTTGGTGGCAGCAAAGGCCGCCATCTTCCTTCGCTAAGCCGAAGCCTTCCCGGGAGACGCCACCAGCCCCCCCCCCCCCCCAAGGCGGGGGAAAAATGGGGCAAGAGACCCCCGGGCAGTCCCTGTGGCCGGCCACCTTTGCTCAAGGGCCCAGGAAGCCTTGCCGAAGCCCCTGCAATGGCTGAGGGGTTCCGAGTGCCTTGTGGGCAGCTCTGCATGTGGGAGAGAAAGAGGGGCGCCTCTCCCTTCATGGGGGGCGAGCCCCTCCTGCCCTTCTTGAGGTGGGGAGACGGGAAAGAGAAGGCTGGATTGTACCACTTCAAGGCGCAGGGCTGGCTGCAGGCCTCTCGAAGCTCTTCTCTCCCTCCCCTTCAAGTTCCCGGGACACCTCGCAGAGGGGCTGGACTGCAACTCCCAGCATCCCCCAGCCAGCAGGGGAGGCTCGTTTCCAGGACCCCGTTCCCCGCGGCGCGAGCCCGCTACGCGCGCGGAGCGGCCTTCCTGCCGCAGGAAACGCGCCCGCTCTCCCGCGCCGCCCGCTTTCGTCCCGCGCGGCGGGGCCCCCGCGCTCCGCGGGCGCGGGGGCCCCTTCTCTCCGCGCCCCCCGCCTTGCCGGCCACGGACAGGGGCGGGGGCGGGGAGCCTCCCGGGCGGGCGCAAAGGGGCCGTCTCCCCCCCTGCCTCCCCTGGCGCGGCGGGCGCCCCGGGCCAGGCCGCCCGCCCGCCGCCTCCGCGGTCAGGGCGGCGAGAAGCGGTCGATGGTGCGGGCGTGGTGGTCGTTGTGCAGGTGCGCGGCGGCGGCGGCCGCGGCCGCGGCAGCGGCGGCGCCCTGGGCCAGCACCTCGGCCGCCTTGTCCGGGCTGAGCCCCAGGTACAGCGTCTCCATGGCGGCCTTGGGGTCGGCCAGGAAGCGCGAGCCGCGCGCCAGCAGCTCCTCGTCGCGGCGCTGCTGCTGCGCCAGGCGCGCCATGGCCAGCACGCCGTCGGGGCCGGCGGAGGCGGCGGCGGCGGCGGCCGCGGCGGCCGCGGCGTGCATCTTCATGTGGCTGAGCAGGTTGCGCTGCTGCGCGAACTTCCCGCCGCACACCTGGCACTCGTACGGCTTCTCGCCCGAGTGGATGCGCATGTGCTCGGTGAGGCGGTACTGGCGCGTGAAGCGCATCCCGCAGGCGTCGCACGCGAAGGGCTTCAGGCCCAGGTGGCTGCGCATGTGGCGCGTCATGGTGCCGCGCTGCGTGAACTTCTTGCCGCAGATGGAGCAGGGGTAGGGCCGCGTCAGCCAGTGCGTCTTCTCGTGCTGGCGCAGCGTGGCCGGGTCCTTGTAGGCCTTGTCGCACGAGGCGCAGCGGTAGGGGCGCAGCAGGTCGCAGCCGCCCGCGCCCCCGGACGGCAGCAGCGGCGGCGGCGGCGGCGGCGGCGGGCCGCCCAGCGGCTTGTCCAGGAAGGGCGAGCCCTGCCCGGCGGCGGCGGCGGCGGCGGCGGCCTCGGCGGCCTCCTTGCGGTACAGCTCGTCCTCCTCGTTGTGCGCCTCCACGTGCGCGTTCAGCTGCTCCGACGACGGGAAGCCCTTGCCGCACGGGATGCACACGTACAGGTTGTCGCCCCCGAAGCCCTCGGGCTCGTAGCCCAGGTAGCGCTCCAGGCTGCCGGCCGCCGGCGAGGGCCCGCCGCTGCTGCAGCCCGTCTCCTCGCTGGTGCTCTGCTCCTCGCCCTCGCCGCCCTCCAGGCCGCCGTAGCGCCGCGGCGGCGGGCCCGGCGGCGCGGCGGCGGGAGGTGGCGAGGGCGAGGGGCCCTTGTGGTCCAGCTCGCCGTCCTCGTCGGCGCCGTCCTCGTCCCGCCGCCCGCCGCGCCGGCCCTCGCCCTCGCCGTCGTCCTCGTCGTCCTCGTCCACGTAGCCCCCCACCAGCGGCTCGTGCTTCATCCAGC